CTAATGCATAATTACGCGTCGTTCACGGCGGTTCCCGCGACGGGACGGTGGCGTAAGCCGCGCGCCTAGAACGTCGTCTATCGATCTGTACACGCTGACTGTTCGCGAGCAAAACTGCAGGTCCGAACAGACAATATCTTTGTTCCGCAGTGTTGTTTCAAAGTGTATTCTATCGTGGAGGAGTCATTTTAATTTCACCTCTAATTCACCTCGCCGAGATGCGATAGAGCATTGTGTTCGATATTGGTGTTCGAAATTGGCGATCAATCTATGACAAGATTTTTCACTTGGAAAATCTCTAGCATTTTTGTCATTGGTTTCTTTCTCTTCTTCACAAGGAGAGACAGTTTCTTTCTTTGATGCGTATCTCGTACAGTTTGAAGAACGCATTAGATACATAATACTGCTAATGTTTGTGGTGGGACGCCGAAAGAGGCATTATCCACGTGGCTTTGCCATTGTCAATCTTTAGGACGTCCGTCCCTATCTCTCTTTACTTCCTCTACCTTTCCCCCGACCTTTTCCTCCTCTCCCTTCTCTCTTCCTCTCTCTTTCTCCTCTCTCTTTCTCTCTCTCTCTCTCTCTCTCTCTCTCTCTCTCTCTCTCTCTCTCTCTGTCAGCTCGCTTTTTATTATTCGTATAATCGGATCTGGAGCGGCGATAGCGCCGGTGATTTCGGGTTTGTCTAGGGTAACGCAGTTGTCGGCCGGCACAATGCCGCGCCTGAATGCCTCATTGTCTGCCGGGACCGACGCCCACTCAAAACTTCCACTCGCGCCCACCGCGCCGCCCGTCATTTTCCGCAATCAAACGATCGCGCCTCCTCTCTTCGTTGCGCATAAAAGCGCGACTGATATCACACTGAGCGAGCGTGAACGCGGGAGTGCGCGCGCGTACTGCTGCCGCCGAGTGATGCAATTAAAACGTCCGTTCTTCCCCTCGACGAGAGACGTAGGAATTCTAAAGAGATCCTGTGTTTCGTGCTAATTTCAGCGAATCAGATTTCATCTCGACCTGGGGGGGGGGGATTCTTCGGTACGAAGCGACCAATAATCGACATCATCGGTCACACTTTGTTCGCACGTATGTGCAAAATTAGTGGATTGTAATCAATGGATCGTGGTCCATTAGTGGATTAATCGTGGTCCATTAGTGGATTAATTGTGTCTCGGGTTAGTTTTACCAGAGAGGGAAACGAAGACGGGACAGTAGAGAGTAGGTGCCGGAGTCTTTTATTCTGCGATGGAATGGAGATCCAAGGCTGTCCCTGCCTGGCGATTTAAGGGGTGAGCAGAGCGAGTAGTATTACGTCTCTGAGAAAGCGCCGACGCGTAGTGTTGTCAGCCATATACCCCACGTGGTCCTCTTCTCAGTCGTCGAATGAACTATGGTTGTTGGAGTTTCTACCGACGCTCTCTTGCAGAGTGATTACATTTCACTCGAATCCGCCTCCTTTCGTCTCCTTTACGGGAACAGTCCGGGGCCGCGGAGCTCCGCGCAACGAGGACATTCTTCGCCGACAATACCCGCCACAATCGAGCGAGGTACACTTCCGCGCATACTAATGGAGAGAGGCACGTAGACTCCTCTGGTCAGAAAGAGGTGATCGTCGCTCGTACCCCCTATTGGTCCTTCACTTTCCACATCTTTGCGCACCAGCCGTAAAACTTACTATGCCTCTCCCACTGCGTCATCATCGTCGTCGTCGTTTTCGAGGAAGCTGGCTGGAATTATCTGCGAGGTGAAACTCGCAGCTCGTGAATGACGCTCTATGATTCTGCGAAGCTGAATGGCTGTTTTAGGTGGGTGGGATTTTCCGTGAAATTTCGTAGCGCTTTTAATCCTTTCAATACAAAAAAAAAAAACAAACAAAGAGCAATTTCAAATGCTGACGAGGCCGACTGTCGATGGCAATCTTCAACCCACACCGTCTTGTGGATCTATAACTGTATAGTACATCGATCTTTTGATTGGAAACACACTTTGATTCTCGTGAAATCGACTACGACAAAATTTCACCGACCGCGACTGCTAACAGGGGAGAGGAACGGAACGTGCCGCCACGGTGGAAACGTCTCCCGGTCGCCATTCTCGCTGTTATCTCACCGCGGAGAAAGCGTGATTGCCTTTATGGGGGAAGAAAGGGTCCTTCGCGCTGGCGATAATGTCCTCGTGGCGGCGGCGGAGGCGTCGCTATCAGAAATAAAACACGACGAGCCGGGGGCGCTCGGATGGAGGGACGCAGGGGGGCCTCGGAGGAAACTCCACCTTGCCCTCGAGATTTTCTTCGCCCCCCTCCCCCTCCTCCCCCTCTCCGATTAGTTCCGCGGCTTTCATTGGATTTGAGAGGGTGATGCGAGGCGCACGCTCGTATTCACTCGTACGATATTAACCCCCTGAGATAGGACGAGTCTGTTAGACGCCTAACGGCTCTCAGGCTGTTCGCTAATATTTAACCTTGTTGAGGAAGTATACACGTCTATACCCGCTTAAGGATGCACAAATAGTACATGTAAAAATAATACTGAATAAAACTAATATTTTGTGACTTGAATACTGTGAAAAACGATACTCGGTGAGCTGATCAGCTGAAACATCTAACACCGTATTGCTGACATTCGACTAGGATTACTTTGTCCGCAGCTAAATAACAGCATTCCGTCGAGCAACATGGGATAGCAAAGACGATGCGTTGCGATTCGAATTGATATTTATTTACAAAGGTTTTTCATTATATTACAGCAGTAATTAACAATAGTGTGTAATCATCGAGACAGGGATTAACGGGTTTTACGTTCTCGTTGTCCTTATCTCGTATTAAAGGGGTTAATTAAAGCATTGCTATGTCTCTGAGGTGTTGTACGAATGCTGCGAAAGAAACAGAATGAGAAAGAGAGAGACCGGAAGAGAAAAGGATAGAGCAAGAAAGTAATACAGATGTTGATACTTGGCAAATATATATAAAAAGAATTGTTTTCAACATTTTTTATGATGTCTGTTGTTTTAATGTTTGATGGAATTTTATTGCAGCCCGTTGCTGTAAGAAAAGAAATATTTGAAAGAAATAAAATATTAGGTTGTTCAAAAAATCATTGCGTTTTTTTCGGTGATTTTCAAGACCGTTCATCAGCGAAGAACTGAATCAAGTGCCTTTCGATAGCGCGTCGTTTGAAGCGAACATTTTTTCACTCAACGAGTTTTGCAAGGACTGAAACAAATGGTAGCCTGATGGTGCAAGGTCTGGTGAATACGATGGATGAGGCAACACATCCCAATCAAGTTCCAACAATTTTTCGCGAGTCATCAAACTTGTCTGGATGCGTTCAATATATTAAATTAAAATAATTAAAGCCATCTATCGAAAATAAATGACTTCTTGAACAATCCAATATTTCGAATAAATTATTTGACAATTTTTCAAATTATTCTATGTGACAAAGAGAGAGAGAAAGAGAGAGAGAGAGAGAGAGGGGGGGGGAGGGAAGGCGAGAGAGGATATGTCTCTATTCGTTAGATATGTTTTACGTTTACATGTGTCTTACTCCCATTACGGTACATGCTAATGAACTCGCGTCAGTGCTCGCTACGGTCGTTTAGAGATAATTAGTGGAAATTTCTACAAGAGGGAAAAGTCGGCGGATTTCTCCCGACGAACGAGTGCGAGTCGATAATATTGTTACTTCGTCTCACAATAATAATCAACAATAATTGCTGGACATAACAAAACAAAAGGTCCCGATAAGATATACATATATATATATATATTGGGCGAGCACGCATCTGCCGCCACGTTTGAACTTTAACGCAAGACGAACTCCAAGTCGAAATCGTCGAAATATCAATGTACAGATGTATTGCAATACTAGAAACAACGTCTCACGGGATAAAGGAATAAGAGTCCAGTCGCGATTTCGAGCGCCGTCAACGAAATTAATCCCTAATAAGATAGGACGTAATATACATTTGAGACAACCTTTGGAAAAAACGTCTATTTGGCTTTTCCGTGTAACATCGAGAAAGATGGGTTCCGTTTGTCAACGCCAACCAACCAACCAAGCAACCAGCCAGTCAGTCAGCCGCGGATCCTCCATTTCGCCATATCGATGCTTTCGTTGCCGGTTCCGTCGCGAAAGCCGGCGGCTGCGCCGCGAAATACAACGAAACTGTCGTCGTTTGGGGGAGGGTACGCGTCTCTACGTTAGCATTCAGAACGTTTGGCTTATTTCGCACGGCCGCGTCCCAAAGAAGAGATTTGCCTCCGCCAGAAGAGCTTTTTTTTCCTTTCCTTCCCCAGCCAGCGTGTCGACCCCCTCCTCTCCCCATCCCCCAGCGCATCCGCGGCCGTCCGCCTCGTAATATGTGTGGCATGAGAGGGTTGGTTATCTCATCAAAATTGGAGTCCTCTAGCATCCAGCTTCGCGTGCACGATCCGGACCGAGAGGGACCCTTTGCGCCGCCTTTTGTGGGATTTCGGGCTGCTGTGGTGAGTTATCGATTCCTGCTGTTGCTGCTGCTGCTGCTGCTGTTCGCCGCTGAGTTCGCCGTCAGTTCGCAAGGTTATTTCTCGGTCCGCTGTGTTTCCCGATCGCGACATCGTTTTCCGGTCGAGCGCGTCAACTGTACACATTATTTTCACTAGTCGCGAGTTAGATCGAAGAATGTCGTCCATGTTGGGGAACAGCGCTGGTCCCGGATTTCTTCTTGATGGAGAAGCGCTGTGCGACTTGTTTGCTTCGCCTGTAAGGATGCTCGTTTAGGGACAAGCGGCGTGTAACCCTCGCCGATCATCATCCTTGCATCACTGCAGGTTAACGATGTGCACGCCGCTCCTCGGCGACCTGGACACGGTCGTCGAGGTCCTCTGTTGCTCGTCCGGGAAGTGAGCGACGTCCTCTTTGACGACTCCGGTGCTGAGGTTCGTCACCGTCGCTTGAGGGATCGGCGAGAGCATCGGAGCCACTCTCCACCAGTCGGCGGCCGGCCACGCTGTTGGCACCAGGCTCCCCCGGAAGTTGAGGTCCGGGAGAACCGGAAGCGGCCTTCATATGACGTGTCCGCGCTGCGAGCTCGAGTTCGAGCCGCCGGATGTGAGGCTCTGAACGGAGAAGGCGCTGTCGACCCTGTTGCTGTTGCTGCTCGACGTCGAGGTTGACGACGAGGACGTCGTCGCCGTCGACGACTTTTCCGGTTCTGTGGGTGGGGAGGAAGACGAGGACGAGGAGAAGCGATCTTGGGAGCGGTCTTCTTGGTGATGCTGAGGGTGTCGGTCCAAACTGACGGGGAAGTCCTCCTCGAGGATTTTCCGATACCGGGATTCCTCTCGTTCCGCAACGACGGCGTTGTCGTCGGCTCGAGCTGGACTGGGAAATGGTCGGTCGTCTATTTTGGACGGTGGGAACGGCCTCTTGGGTTCTTTCGACAGGCTCGGACAGTCGCAGTTGGGTTGCAGGCAGGTAGTCGACGACAGACTCGGCGTCCACGGTATTGTGGGGTGGCTCGGATAAAACGTACTGCCGGTGTAAAAGGCCTGGAAGGCCAGATCGGCGGCCAGTTTGCTGCTGCCGTTGAAGTCTTCGCTCAGCTTGTGCTGCAGTGGATACAGCGAGTAGGGGAACGCCGGCAAGAAATGGGGAATCTTCAGGTCTTCGCGTGACATGAGAGGGTGGTGCGTGGGTGGCGCCAGCGGTGGTAGAAGAGCGCGCGGGAGATTGGCCAGGGCATCACCGGACGATATCAGCGGCGATATCGAGAACGCGAACTTGTTCTCCTTCTTTACCAGAGACTTTGGCTTTCGTCGCGGCCGATATTTATAGTCCGGGTGTTCCTTCATGTGAAGAGCCCTGAGGAAAAAAAATAACGACAATTTCCAAATTAGTAACAATATCCCGCGATTTGGTGTAAACGAGAATTTTTATTGTTACTGTTGTATCTATTTAGTGCATAGTGTATATTTGTTCTTCAGCTAAATCACAGCCAAGAAGGGATTTGGTTTACAATATGATCTTAACTCCGTCCATCCATTCTTTCCTCGCGCTCGTCTCCTTTTCATTATTCTATTCATTACCCTATTCTACCTATGTTCTGCTTCTACAACTCAAAACAAACCTTTTATATTTTACATTAACATTTCAGTACATTATTATTACTTGAACCTTCTTTAATCTATCTATTTTACTGTTTTCTTATCCTGATTCTTACGCTTTAAAACACTCCTTAGTTATATCTTAATTATCCACCATATTTTTTTCATCTTTATGTCCGTTATATGCACCATTTTCCTTCCTTTTATTATATATTCTATTATTATCTATTTAGTACATGTTTAATATCTACTTATTATTTCATATTTAACCCTTTAGCTACGGTCGAGATAACTCGAGTGTGGAAAAAAATGGCGGCCTTGCTACAATCGAGTTTACTCGATCTGGACTTTCAATGTGTAATATTTAATTTAATTTAATTTAGTAAAAAGCATTTGAATTGAGCGGGGGGCATATAGTGCCATCTCTTATATCATTATAAAATATCTTATAATTGTAAAAGTAACTCAGCAAAGAGGGTCATACTGGTCATTTGATATCTCAGCAGTTAAAGGGTTAAGCTACTCTACACCTAAATTAAAATACAATTAAATGTGATATTATCTACAGTGTGTCTGGTAATTAAAACGAAAATAAAATCTGAGCGCATAAAACTGACCATTTTGCAATTTTGCAATTCAGCAGCTGCTAAGAAATTAATGACCGTCAGGGAATGAATGCGCATCGAAGCGATAGGATAAGCTCTTTAGAGGCACAGCTCGAGGAACATGTTTTACCTGAAATTTCTTTAGGTTAGAAAGACTGAAATTATTCGAATAATAAAAGTTACATAGTAGAACCCTGTAGAACCGTCCCAATAAAAGAGCATTTTGTTCTTCACGACGATTAACGATATTTCTTTTTAACTTGATTTTGCTCAATTTTCTAGCGCGACGCGGATTCGCCGAGGCTCGTCGTTACCGTAAATCTGAACTCGACATCGTTATACGCCGATGGAGTAAAAGGGAAGAGCGAGTCGCGAAGGGCGTATCGAGGGCGGTTTAATTGAATAGTTTCGTGACGATGAACGCGGTAGTTTAGCCGGCGATGGGTTTACAACGTAATCCCAAGACGATCCCTCGACGCTGAGAGTCAGCTAGTCCGGAAGCATACGTTTTGTTCTTAATATGCGTTTGTCGTCAGCTATAAACAGCATCTGGACGTCGATGATCTCCCAAATTTGCAACAACAGTACGGACATTTCAATCGAGTACTTTGCACGCGCTTTCGCAGTATCGTTTCGCTGAATTGTGCTTCTTAGGACGCTCAACTTGGACGCTCAAACCAACATTCAGGTTAAGAATATGTGGAAGAACCAACGATCGGTTCCTTTCACGACACCCCGTATATTCGCGCTGACCCGAAAAAATGCGGGACCGGCCTGTTTTATCATGTTTGCTTTCCGCGGCTATCGATTATCGCTGACTTAAACGTCTCACGACAATTTTTGTAGACTGTGCTCTCGCCGTCCCACGTACAATGGGACGTATTATCGCCGTCCTAGAACACGATACAGGGCACCATGGGTATTTGCAGTAAGTATCTTGTACACATTCCCCCTTTCGCGCGTTGGTTAGACGGAGGGCGGGGGGGGGGGGGAGCGGGAAGGTTGGAGAGAACGACGGAGCAGCAGCGCGGTATCTCCGACACATAATACTCCATTATGTACCCAAGAGGCGTACAAACGCAGTGCTTATTTATGCCTTACCTCATGGAGATAAAAAAAGAAAAAAGAAGAAAAAAGAAAAAGAGGAGGAGGCGCGCGAGAGGGAAGGGTGCGCGAGATAGGTGGGCACCGCGCGTTTTTCGTAACGACCGGCTGTCGCGAAGAATCTTGCCGGAAACCGCCAGGACAATGCAGTCAGAGGTACGGTCGCACGATAACGCGTTGCTGTTTACTTCGCACGCCGCCGTAATACACGTTTCGCGGAAGCGAAGTTCCTCTTATTGCCGCTGTAATCATTATCGATTTCGAGACAACGCTCGCATGAGCTGCCGTTGCCGGCGATAAACGAGCGAATGAGAGGAATTCGCGATTATAATTATTTTGGCGCGAGGATCTTGGTGGCGAATTCAGTCGTTCGGGCAGACGACGACAAATGGCAAACAAATTTTTCACCGCGCGAGCTTCCAATTATTTCGATGGGATCGCCGATAAGGCCGGAGCGGCACACGAGGACTCGCCGAGGCACCGCGCCGCGCTGATTATCCAGTCCGCAGGGACGTGGAGAATTTTCCAGGGCGCGTACGAAATTCGAGATTTCACGGGGAGAGGGGGGGCGGAATGTCGGCGGAAAATAGCGCGGGCGGCGCGGCGGAGCGGAGGAGGAGAAGGAGAGACGTGGGTGGTGGGACGCCGCCGCCGCGACCGCGGAATAATAATTCCGGGGACAATGTGTCCCGGCAGATAGCACAAAGCGTAAATCAGCATAAACATCGGTAAAGCCGCGCCGACAATAACTCAGCATAAATGCATAAACATCGACCGTAATCTTTACAATTCCAACCTCCGCGCGCATCCCTCCACGATCCCCGCTCCCCCCGGCTACCGCCGGCCGATAAACAACGCGCTATATCAACCCCTCCCCCCTTCAACCCCCTTCCAGCCGCCCAATGCTGGCGACATAAGCTCGCAGCGTGCCACGCCAACGACAAGGAACAATAACAATTAGTTACGATTGTGGTCGCGCGACGTCGCCGGCGTAAACCGGCTGTGTGCGGCCGCGTTATTGGCGGGGGCCGACGTCGACGCTTTTAATCGTGTTTCATTACGAAAGTTCATTTCGCAACGGTTCCGTTGCTCGATGACGTCAGCGCTCCATTTCGCACAGCTAATGAGTGATACATACTTCGAGCGGCATTCCTCGCGCGACTCCAATGAGGAGCGAGCCCAGGCAGGAGGGGGGCGGGGGGGAGGCTCGTCTGGATCTTTCCTCCGAACTAAATTATCACTCAGCTTGATGATTTAGATGACGAGATTCGAGCCCTCGTGAAGTTTCGCCATCGTCTCGATTACATTGGAAACTACCCAATTAATCGAGACAACGCGACGTATCAGCGAGCTTTCCGCACCCTCTCTCCCCCCTCCCCCACGAATATTGAAAAAATGTTCGTATGCAACATTAAAATGGTAAAAAACTGCGTTTCGCCGCGGCGGGAGAAGCGAGAAATCGGCAAGAGGCTGCAGAACACGTAGGGGGTTGAAACTGCATGTAGAAGGGGGGCAGAGCAATGCAGGAGGGATAAAGAAGGTGAGCCGAAAAGAGAGAGTGAGAGAGTGAATGAGAGAGAGAGAGAGAGAGAGAGAGAGAGAGAGAGAGAGAGAGAGAGAGAGAGAGAGAGAGAGAGAGAGAGAGAGAGAGAGAGAGAGAGAGGAATCGTTGAGCGCGGACGGCGGCGGTGGTGGTGGCGGCGGCGGCGGCGGCGGCGGGGGTGCAGAGGAGCCGGGCAAATCCTTTTAAATCCACACAATTGCGACAATGGGGCTTTATTTGTTATCTCGGGGGCCACATTGTGAGTCGCCGTGAACGAACGGACAGATTACGTCGGGCCAGTGACGGCGCGGCATCGAGAGAGCCCGTTCCTACCGCCCGACGTCGCTCCAAGGGAACGACTTTATCCCCCTACACCCCCTTACAGTTTCCCCCCTTTTATTTTACGGCCGCCACCCTCCTCGTCGTCGACGTCGCTGCCATCCGCCAGAAAAGCGGATTCGCCGTTACACGTCCGCGTCGAAATTTCCCTCGGATTGCCCACACCACCCCCTCCTCACGTTGCTACCTTCCCCTCACTCCCGCCGGCTCGTTGCCGGTCCTTCTCATTTTCTTTCTTTTCTCGAAATTTTCGATGGAAAAATATGGCCCTTTGTTTGCGCTTTTGTATCGTTAACGCGAGGCGAGAGGTAGACGGAGATAGAAGATTTAATAACCAAGATATTTTAACGCCGAATATATAAAATAGCACATGGAAAATAACATTTATGTTTGCGCATTAAGGATAAAAAAATATCAGGAAGTTGCGGAACGATAATAAGGGGAGTAAGGATAGTGATACTAAACGCTCTGACTGAATTCAATGATAATATATTCTCTATATCTGAAAAAATATAAAATCCAAGTTTTCCCTGATATCGCGCGCGGCCTGAACGAAAATTAATTCAGACGGGATAATTAATTTGTGTAACATACGAGGTGGTGTCATTGTAGATAATTATCATTCACCGACGCGATCACATCGATGTTGGCTATTACATCGGCCCGCCCCCCGCCACCCTCCCTCCGCCCGGCGCACAATCGCGATGGAAATTTATTTACCAACGAGTTAAGACAATATATGGCAAGCGCATTTGCGCTTTCGCCGGAAATTTCAGCAGCATTGCGGAACATCCGCTCGCACCACCCCCTTTTTACTTCTATTTCCTACTTTTTCCCCGCTGCGGGGTGGAATGTAAATCGAGGTCGGGATATTTTGCAACGCGGGCACGAGGTTAGAGTGTGGAATCAGTTTAAATCTTGTTCCCCGAGACGAGATCGAAGAGCGAGAGAGCGGGGATCGTTCTCAAATTTAATCTGCACGCACCTCGCGCGCAAACCCATTCCTTCCCTCTTCCCTCAAGCCCGAGTTTTATTTGGAATATTGATCACCATTAACCTCCCCGGAGACAACGACACGTCCGAGAAACGTTCATCTTAAGCTCATCTTAGGGAAATTTATTAGATTGGATTGGCGATTAAGTGGAAACTACTTCAAAGATTATCAAAAAAAGTAATACTTGATCTATGGAAATTTACGGAGATTAGATGTGAGACTACTGAAAAAGGGTTAATAAATATCTGATGTGAGTTAAAAAATGTAAGGCACAAATGTGACGCGAAATCAATCACGACGTGTCATGGCAGCCTCGTCAATGGTCGAAAGATCTTCCTATCTCCTGAGAAGCGGTTCGAAAATCGCAGCAGCGCGATGTATTTCTTAAAGTTTTAATGAAACGATCATTACGCGCGCTGATTATTATCGCGAAATTAGTTCGCGTCTACCTCGCGGCGAGATTGCGTTTGCGGGATCGCGGGATGTTACTCAAATGAGGCTTACAAAATTGCAAGGCCGTTACGAAGACTCTAGAGGGAGGCTCTCGCGAGATTACGCGGACCTCCTGTCTCTCTCTCTCTCTACTTCCTCAAGAGGGCCCATTTAAGGGAGGTGCGTCGGAGATCGAAAAATCGGCGCGGCTTTCGCTCCGCCGGGCTAAATAAACTTATAACGGTGATTAAATATTCAGGGTCGGTAATAAAGAGCCGGTCTTCCCCGCCGCCCTATAAATACCGGCCCCGTCTCACTCTAATTCAAGCTCGAGCTTAGCGTAGCACGCCCCTAAGCTTCCCGGCAACAATGTACCGTATTATGAAGTCCGAGGTGATCGCGCGGGACGCTTCCCCGTCGTTTTCGATCCCTACGGTACCGCTGATGCGGAGCCCCCCCCAACCGACGCAATCATTTCGCTGGAGTGTTCGCGACTAAAGAGCAATTAGTGCCGCCAGGGAGGAAAGAATCGCCTGTCGATCCACAAGGACGTCGCGTCGAATTATTACCATATTCTTCTCATTTTGTATTCGTGAGCGTATCGTGGGGGAATCGGCGCGACATCTAATAATAATGATAATAGCGATATTAATTATAATACTCATGTGATTAATCGCAAGTCATCCCGCGGACCGTCACGTGTTCGCTGCACAGGTGTGATTCACAGGATGAATCTCTGACGCGAGTGGAATAATAGTGTTGCTAGTAAGATGGCGATATTGTTGACACGACGAAAAAGAATAATTTATGCAATTTATCTGTCGTCAAATATTTTATATAAAAGGGAAAAGGGATGAATGGACTGTATACGGACGTTATTTGAAATTATTTTGTGCGCCAAAGGACTTTGTGTAAAGTAACTGTGTTTAATAATAATAATAATAATAATAATAATAATAATAATTTGATGTAATTCCTGAGCTCACCTTAATCTCTTCGCTTCATCGATAAACGGTCTCTTCTCGCTCTCGCTCAGCAGTTTCCACTCGGCGCCCAGTCTCTTCGAGATCTCTGAATTGTGCATTTTCGGATTCTCCTGTGCCATTTTGCGACGCTGACCACGCGACCACACCATGAAGGCGTTCATCGGCCGCTTAATGTGCTCGTTGTGCAGACTCTTGGACGACATCTCCATCAGTCGTTTTCTTCTGGTCTAACTGCTACTCGATCTATTTTCCTTTATCTCGCTAACTTACGGCATTTCTAATAGATCGAAATTGATAGACAATCTCATGCGTACAATCTTTTACGTAAATTCCCGTTAACTATGTTTGGTCGGTAATTTTACTTCGGAAAGCTAAAGGTGTTTTAAACGGCAATACTTTACGGGCCGTTTCTTTATACTTGCCGGGACGTACACGGCAAGATTCTGTTTATTGGCGGTTTCCTTAAACAGGATCTGTTTTAAAAGTCTGTCTTTCCAACGGAAAGCCGAATGTAGCCATGTCGTACATAGTATATTGCCGGAATAAACAGAGAAAGACCTTGAGACTCTGATCCGTTGTGAAAACTCAACAGGATCAGGAGAAAATCATGAGTACTTATCGAGCTAGTTTTCTTTTGAAAGTAGGACATCATCACCTCGCTTGTATACACACGTTTGCTCTTCTTCGAAACAGTTGATTGGGATCAATTCGATCCTTTTCTACCTTTAACCCTTCCAATCGATTCACATTCAATTTTCGATTGATTCACACTCGAATGATTCACTACACCAAAGTGGCAATGACGGCGGCAACACTTGAACTTCAGTGATTTGAGATGTTTCTCAAGTTTCGAATTTTTTGTTCCAGTTGTTCAATATTACTGTTCAACTCGCGAGTGTTTTCTTTTTAAAAAGCTGACGTTTCGACTGACTGATGTATCATCGAGATCACTCTTGCGATCGACGCTGAAGTCCTTAAGATGATGCTTTCAGTCCTCGAGGAACTTTGTAGCTCAGAAAAAGAAGTATTGTCCAAAATGGAACCCCCGAAACTACAAAAAATACGAATGTCTTACGCGATCATCAATTGTCCCAGGCAATAATCTCCAGCCGTCATCGGATTCATCGTCGAGAAAATCATCAGCTAACCACCAGAGTTCCTCCGCGCGAAGGATTTCCCAATATCTCGCTCTTAAGGAATTCCACGACAGCTTAAGAAGAACGCAAATCTCTTCCAATCATGAGGTCGTCTTCGGTCTTTCAGTTATCACAGTACAATTCTTCTTTGGCAGCTCTTCCGAGGAATCCCGCGCCCCCGTGGCGTGTATTAGACGGAGGTTTACTTCTGACGGACGCGAGTCCTTTTGGCGCACTGACAGGAGCGCCGGATCCCTCAGGAACTCCACGGGGCACCGTGTATCTGGGGCGAAGCAGCGGGTCGAGATCCTGCCACTGCGAGTCGGCTCCCGCGAAACGTGGGGAAGGACAGGGTGGTGAGCAAATGGGATGCGACATTGCGACTCCCACCACTTTCTACGGCTAACAAACGGTCGCGATTGGCCGTCGCGCCGACATGGCGGCTGAAAACGGATACGCGGGCTTCGTGCAACAGGTGGAAAAAGCCTATCTGTTCGGTTTCTCTCTTTGCCGCTGTGCTCCTCTCTCTGTCTCACGAAGACAACGACGGCTACGAGGTGTGGGTGCGTTTGTCGCACGGATTATCTCACCGTCGCCGCCGCCGCTGCCGCCGCCGCCGTCACCACCACCACTACCACCGCCTCGGCTGCCTTTCTGACCTCACCACCTTCCGTCGACGGTCAGCCCGGTGCATCCGGTTCATTGATACCTCCGAAGACAATAGCGGATGCGGAGGCGGGAGAGGGCATCGACGCGTGATCGCAAGATTTTTATCCTACAATGGACACATGAACTTTGCACCCTTAAATGGACGCACAAAACGATTGGCTAACCCAATTTACTTGTATCGCAAGAGTCCAATTAGTTAAGTTACGCCAACAACTTGGCATGATTTAGTGATACGAGCATATCAGCACGTCCAAAGTTGCAAATCTGACATAACCTGACGTAAGAAAATAAGGGAGAAATTTTTCTTGCGATTTAGGATGCAGTGTACATACACAATTCATTTTAGGGTTTGATTGTTTTTCAAAAGTTTTTCAAAACGTTCAAATTAGTCACGGGGATTATCTTATCTCGGCAAAGATTTTCCCATACCTCATTTAAGAAAGTTATTTTTATCTTTTCTTATCATATTCATATTTATTCATATATTTTCTTATTATATTTCTTATCATAAATTATGTAGTTAAAAGCATGTTGATTAAATACATTGTTCTATCTATCCAGACTTGTCAGTCAATTTGGGTACAATTTGGGTTTTATCTGGACCCAGTATTTTAAATATATTGGTCACTTAATTGATAGGCGATTATTATGAATATTACAATTAAATAAAGAAGACTGAGCCAAGTTGAATCATGGTCACACACATACACATAATACAAAGCTGTGTTGGTCATGTAGATAGCAACGTAGGACAATATTTATGTCTTAAAAGTATTATTATTCGACGCACCTTTCTCAATTTTTTCCCCGACAATAAATATACAATGAAACACATAATTGACTCGACTCGGTTTGTTTTATAAGTTATTAATACATTTTTAGGACATGTTCAGAACATTTCCATTATTGGTACGTTTCTACGTCTAGAACGTACGTGTCCAGAACATTTCTATGACATGCTCACAAAATAAACATTATCTGACAAAAGCCAATCAAGGGATGATGGATAGGTATTATTTTGGCATTATCCGTAATTCTTGATTTTCTTGATTTTCTAGATTTGATTTTCTAGACTTGTTATCTGATGGATATCTAAAGATCCATAATCAAAACTTGTTTATATTGACTTATATTCTGAACTTTTTTCCATCGCTAAGCGACTTATGAGCTTCCTGATTGGTTGTAAGCCACTTTCACAGTCATTTTTAGTGATGAAAGAGAATTCAATTTGCCAATGACGTTGACAATGGAGTTTGCTATGTATTGGTCATATTAGATAGCACCGAATAGATACAGGCATATGATACCAGAATATATAAAAACAAATAATCTCATACTGACAGCGGATAACATACGAAATGTAAATATAATTACTGCAGAAGTAGTAGTATACAGCCTAGAGATAAATTACGATGTATCACATCGTGTGAGTGAAGCACACGCTATTGAAACTATTGAAACTAATTGAAACTCGATAATAAAAAATACAGTGACAAAAACTCTAAAGCATAAAGAGCCGAACGAAGACGCGATGATTGACATTGTTGATGAGTTCGTCGATCGGCTGCCGTACTTTCGTCATCAGACCGAGAGAATACCTTTCTTGGCTTTGTTCGCCGCAAAAATACGCAGGCGTGGAAGGCGAGAATAGAAGACCAGGTCTCGTAATAAATGTTATCAGTCGCGGTAGTGTCTTGTCGTAGCGCGGGAAGGAGGAAGGTGGCTCGGGGTGCAACGACGGGGGAGAGCTGGAAGACGTCTCGAATGATAAGACGATAAAGAGAGAAGGTATAAAACGAGACAAGGGGACTGGTGTGCAGGCGACATCTCCCGCTCGCCATAAAGAGGGAGACTGTGCTGTCGCCATTGAATTTCCGGAAGGCGCAGAAATATTCATCTGCCGCAGAAAAGCGAATCTGTGTCAGCTCGCAGAGAACGAAGAGACGTCGAATAACGTCGGTGTTCCGCGCGGTGGAGAATAAAAGAAATGAATCAATTTTTTTTTAACGCGCAAAGGTGTAATTCCGCAAGGACTAAGGAGAGGTGGGAGGGGGAGGGGAGGGAAGGTCGAGGAAATTGGATGAACGGGCGAAATTGCGAGACGCAATACTGCGGCGGAGATAAGACACATACATGAGCGAAGAAGTCGCATCGGCGAAAGAAAACGCGCTGGAAAAACGTAGAAGGAAGAATTACCGTGTACGTTTACTCGTTACTTACGACGCGCTCTCTTTGAGCGTGAACTTGAGCGCTCGGATTTGCGGTCGATTTGCCGAGGCAAGGAACAAATACCGTTACCGCTGTATCTCTCGGGGAGCATAATGAGGGATCACTTACCACGGACTGCAGATAAGCGGGCGCGATCAACTGTCACGCGGCCCCATTATTAACCGCACAATAAATTCGCTCTCCAGCGATGTCCGTCAATGAGCGAGATACAGCGATCGACTGTCGTGCCGGGGACCCTTTATCGTCACTTCGTCACACGTTCTGTCATTCATGGGGCGTGAATGCGCCTTTTATCGCTCATCGTCGACAAGAACCGACAAGAAGCGACGAGGGGCGTTGGTGGTGTGCCTCCTTTTTCCCGATCAATTCAACGCCAAATTAAAGCAGAAACTACGCGCTCGAGATACAGCGCGTTGTCCGAGATAATTAGTACCGAAATAATTAAACTTGTCAGGCGTTTGTACCGATCGGGAAGTTCCCGGTGCTTTTTGGCAGAAATTTTTCGACGACGCGTGGCGCGCACCCGATCACGACGGCAACAAATTATCAGTTGGTTGCGTATCCTATTTCATACGCGGTGACGGTTCCATAAAGATGTTCTCGCTTGCTTTCGCACGTGACAGATTTTTCCGTGTGACAGACTTTGCAGCAACTTCGACCACTCGCGACTAACTTGCGACTCGTCACAATGATCTAATTACCTGTCTAGTTGCCCGTCGTTCACGTTCACGATTTTTTGAAATCGAATTACTCGGTGTTAAGGATTGAACAGTACGATCTGAAATTTGCGAGCAAGGGGTAGCAAGGGGTAGCAAGGAGGACATTTGCAAGGCGCAAAACACGGACGGGGCGGACTAAGTGACTTTTCACGATTCCAACGTCACGAACGGATAGGGTGGAGCGGAGGCGGGGGTAGCGGTGAGAGCAGGCGAGGGGCAACATTTCGTCTTACTCTCCGTTACGGCCTCTTCCTCCCTCGTCGAGCACAAGGGCTCCCGCTGCCACGCGACCGCTGATTATACCATTCATCGACTGGCACGGTCCGAAAGAGGGTTGCGAGCGTAAACGCCGTAACATCTAATGTACCCCTTACTCCACCCTTCTTGTTTCCCGCCTACTACGACCCTGAATGCTCGTTCATCAATGAAACAATTCGGCTCTTCGATGTTTCACCG